AAATCAGATATTCAACATCACATTAGAACACAACAATTCCAGGAATTATTAACACAAATGGACACAATACAAAGACAATCAAATGACCAAAACTTACGCAAACTTGCCGAAACCGCAGGATTTGCAGACATCTATACGCAAGACTATAGCGGATATTTTAAAGACATTAAAGATTATATATATCTAAACGGTGAAAAATACCGTCCCCAAGATATATCACCTATCAATATTTTTAGCTTTGTTACACTCAAGAATGAAATTCTTGATTTTCTAGGATGGCCCTACTACATCTTAGAAAAACTGACTATTTTATACGCAATGTTTAACTTTATTGGATTTCTTTTTTCACTCTTAAAAGGAATCTATAACACATGTGCTATACACACACAAGTCAATAGACAAGCAAGTGTAGCACGCATACTATTTGCAGGATTTTTTGGAATTTTTTCTACATCAATAAACAAAATTCTTTGAGATGCACAAATAAAAGAATACAACACAAAAATAGCAACAAGACAGAACACATACGACGAAGAACATAACAATGTAGACACAACGCCAACAGCACCACAGTTACCACCCCTACCACATAACCATCCATTATCCCTAGTCCCACGTAATTTTCGAAACTTAGCAATAACACATAATCCAATTTTTAGACCAACCATATCACAAAGTCCCATCCAACATATAATGACACGCCACTCACAAGATGAAAATACTTATGAACAAATTATAGAACAACCCCATACCACCGCTTTTCAGTCTCAAAATAAAAATTTTTTTAGCCCACGATGAGCCGACAACTTGGATCCCTACACCGTTCAAATTCCCACCCAACCAACCTCACTACTCCAATTACAATAATACCACTTTTTGCTTTCCCGCCACCCGATTTCCCAACCAGTAACGTAACATCAGGCATGAATTCCGATAATAATTCACACATCTCAGTTTTATACTCCACATCACAACTCAATAACCCGAATATTGAAACCCCCGATGAATTTGCCGACTCTGAACCATCTCCATCCAATAATTTTCACACCAACCCCTCAATTTTTTCCCACCCCCCTTTTCAACCAATGCTACCAAATAACCCCGTCCCCACCAATTCTACACCCTCTTATGCTTCCCAAGTCACTCCAACCTATTCTTCACATCATTCAGACCGATCATCCAATTCTCCAGATACCCCCCAAATCTCCCCAGAACTAGATAATTTTATTACATTACAACAACAACCCTACCACCTTGATACCCCCACCATAAACCAAATTTCATCCACAATAGATTCATCCAACCCTCCTACCCCTACACTCTCTTCAATTTATACCGAATCATTAGCACCATCATCCACATCTACTGAATCTTCACTCAGCACTAATAGAGCTTACCGCACTTTTAAAAGAAAGTTCCCCAACCATCCTTTCCCAGCAAAACCAGGAACAGCCCGTGAATATATAAATCACCCAAATCACACTAATACAAAAGAATTTTTAGCTATCACCTTACCCTCATTTCCACAATACACCTTAAACACCCCTCACGACACTAACGAGACACGTAACTTTGTAGACGAACACGTTTTAATGCCTACCCTTCCTTGGACCTCATATTATCATTTTACTAATCCCCTTTGCTTACCTTTATCTAACACTCACATCGATATAGAACGAAATAAGGACATGCTATATCGACTCACTACACCACTAACACCTAGACAATTTACTTACATCGGATATAAAAAATCACTAAAAACATACACTGCACCCCGAGCTAACGAATATACGCTAGAATATTACGATCATAACATCATCAGAACTAACCAAGATCAATTCTTAGACGACGATCGCTTCGCTAACCCACAAATCACAGAAAAAAAAATTTCATTAAAACACCATATGTATTTACACTCAATATCTTTGACCGCAAATTTGACCACATCATTTCAGAAGCACTAACAGACACACAAGCTTACGAAAGTTTTAAAGAACGCTTCCAAATATTTTCACTAACCTTTCATTTCCTTGCACCACATGAAAGAGATTTGCACTGCTCACACGATATTATGTTGCGCACTAAACAAACTCACACATATACATATTATCGTTTTATCCAAAATCACTTCGACCTACACACTCCCTCCAGACAACCACACCACCGTTTTCAATTCATCAATTCCAAATACACCTCACCATTCTTTCTTAACTTCACATATTGCATTAAAGATACTAACCTTCATGGTATTTTTCGAAATTATGATCCCATAACCCAAATGTATATTTTTTGTCCCATCACCAAGACCTTCAACGCAGAAGAATCCCGACCCTTTCTTCTCCCACACGAATTTGTTCAACCTATAGAAATCCCTATTTTAGAATTCATCCACAACACTAAATTCAATCACAAATTATATAATCTAATCCAAAACACACCTTATGAGTTTGCAGTTGGCACTGAAGAACTAACCACCATTAAAGCACTTCAATTGCTTTGGCCACTGCTTCAAACTGAAAATATCATCCGCATCTTAGCTAAATTACTAACAACTTCAGATCTCATCCACGACATCTTCCCCCACGGTTTCTTCCCCGACGACTAACAGGTAAGTATGAACTATACATATTAGTAACTAGTTATTAAAATTAGAAACTAACCATTCTTTATTCATGTCTTCTTTAGAATTTTAGCCTTCATCCAACGATCATCTGAACAATTCACAAAAGAAAATGAAAAATGAAAACTTCTTCAAACTGTTTAAAACTCTATTAATTTTTTGCACCAAATAATTAAATAAAAATAATACCAATGCAATAATTTAATTTATAAATTTTTTCCCAAATGCAGTAAATCTAATAATGATGAAAATTTGTAACTTAATTTTCCCCAACAACTAGCAGTAAAATTGAAATTCTATGAATTAAATTAATAAGAAGCAAATGCAGTACTAACCTTTTGATATTTTCATTCACTCGCACAAGAATTCTATCCAAATTCGCACAGCTCGCCCACAAAGAATTGTTTAAATAATGAATTTCAGTTTCAAGCTTTCACACTAAACAACTCTAACACACGATAACAAGTTTCAAACTTTCCTTTAACCCGGTTGGAAAGGAATTATATACTAAACAAAACTAACCAATGCAGCTTACTAAACACCACAACACATAGCATAACAGCATGACTAAGAAAAGGAAACCAACGGTACCCAAACCGGATTAACCCAGTTTAAAACTGGATAATTTATTCTTTTGAAGACTATTATAAAGTCTAAGAAAGAAATAATAAAACACAAAAAAGTCGAAAGACAAACCCATACCACAAACAATTTGATTTTTGAAAAAAGGACACAACCAACAAAACATAAGAAAAACCACAACAAACCCAACATAAAACGTTGTCACATAACAGGACCTCTCACAAAAACCGCATGCTATCATACTCCCACTCCTGGCCTAACCCACCAGAAGAGGACGTCCTGAGCATGCTCTATAGCCGGCCTAACCCACCGCGCTACATCCACGCTTTGTGACACATACTCCTATTTTTAATAAGAGCTACTCAAGGGTGAGTAACTCTTCAAAATAACTGAACTAAAACAAAAAGCTTTTGTGAAAACAACTAACCAAAATCATAATTAAAAAACATTAAACTAATAAAAGTTTTATAAAATGTAAATTATATTATGCAATATATAGATCAGCATACAACACCAAAGACGAACATCCAAAGACAAAATGAACCCACTACACTCGAAAAAGAATGGCCAACCACAATCAATATGCCGCCCACAATCACAACTCAAAGGATTTAGAGTACGACTTGACTTCGCAGAAAAGGACTTCATTGAACTAGAACAATGACCACCTCGATGTTCAAGTATACGTACAGATCCGAGTAACCAGGCATCCCCTCCACACACAATCTCCACGCCATTCCCAGACAGGGTCAAACACAAAGAAGTTCTCATCAATGAAACAGAAAAACCTGACATAGCCAACCATTCTGAAATCAGATTTGAGTTTGTTGCGAAAACCCAGTCGTTGTCTTGAGAAGACACAACGATTGAATCTGGGACTTCTCTAATAAGAAAACCCAGAAGAAATAAGATGTTCGCCAAATACCAACGTCCATCATCCATCCTTTGAATTGCAGAAAGACTATTCTAAAAAACTCTGTAAAACCCGGATGGGTGGAACCTGATCTAAACTACATTTTATGATTGGATAAATTAGATATTTTACCACTGTAAAGTATTTAATATTAACCAATCATGATCCATCAAACTAACAACCCACTTATTTGTAAGTGCTGAAATTACTTGTAATTTCAGCACCAGAGAGATTTGAATTTAACTTAGAAATTAGTTGACTCTCCAAGAAGACTTCAGCAACCGCAATAAACCAGTATACCCTAGATCTATTGAGCCTAGCAGAGACTAGTTAAACAACCTGAGACTAGATAGTATAAGAGTAAGATTAGGATTGGTATTAGACTAAGAAGTTGCACGAATCTATCCGGCCGAAAATAAGATAGCGTGACGAGCAGACGGTGTACCCTATCCGAAATTACTCTATGAGTTATACACTTCGGTCCTAACTCACACGGTTTAAAATTCAAGAATTTTTTAATTATATGTTGAAAATTAGGATCATGAGAGAAGTTTTTGCTCTTAAAAGTTTCCAATCGTCTACGCCTAGTTATCATTAATCTCAATGAGACACTTCGAATGATCTCAAATACTCATATGGGGCTCATATAAGTAATATTGAACCTAGAACTAACCCATATTACCGATTATTATATCATAATCAGATTGTAATTCATAAAATGCTTTAGGTTCAATATTAATTATGATTCCCCTATGAGTACAAGAGAAACGAGGTGTCTCATTGGGATTAATGGATAAAAGGAATCATAAGACTGGAAAATGAAAGCTCTCAGTGATGAATTTGACAAAAAAATCAAGAAAAAAAAAGGAGCTTAAAATGTCTTACAGTTTTACGAGTGCTGCTTTGGGACACGTGACTATCACGCGCTTGTCCTCTTGCCGTCAGCCTCCGTCCATTCACCTTGGCTATGAACATCATGTCCTTGTAGAATTTGTAGTCGTCACCCTGTGTGTAGCGCCAACGGTGGACTTTCCACTGCACAAACTAAACCCGAAAGTAAAACGAAATAGTAGTATTTTAGAATGGTGGCTTTCAAATTACCTGATTACGGCTTTCGACAACAATCTATGGCTTTTTTTTGATGTATTTTAAGCGCAAATTCCGAATCCAGCTTTAAAAATGGCAAAAGTTAAATTGAAAAAAAATAATACAAACAATTCGGTTGTCATCCTCAAATTTGACGCGCACGAAGCGCCCCCACTTACGGTCCCATTGGAAGGTTTGCAAAAAAACAAAATCTCGCGCGAAGTTATTTGGTTCAGGTTCAGAACATGTCCTTATTCAAATTTCGTTTTGTTTTCTGAATGATTTTACTTGACCTAATGATCAGTTGATTTTGTGAGAGCAGCATTGGCTTAGAAATTTTTCTCGCCAAATTTTATTTTTAAAATGACGTCCCGATGCTGTAGGCTTATTTCAGAGAGTAGCAGTAGTTTGGGATACCTCTAAGGAGGGATGGGGGGGGGGGCTGAGTAGAGCAAAACCGCTCCAACCCGCGACACTGTTTTACTTCGACTGTTTAATTTCGACACTGTTGTACTTAAGCACTGTTGTACTGCCCCAATTAAACTGATTTTGCGCAAAGCTTTTACTAGTCTCAAACTAAAATGGGGAGGAAAAATTTCAGGCCTGGTCAAGTTTGCCTAAAAAACAGCTTCTCTAAACCCTGGCTAAGAACTTAAAAAATTGCCGCTTACAATCAGAAAGAATTTGAACCATGAAAAATTATAATGAATAATTTTAACCAAGCACTTAAAAAATTATGAAACCTACCGGCCAGCTAATGGCTGTTTCTCACTCTAAAACTTTAAAACTTATAGGCGTTAGAGCATCCCTAATTAAATTCAAAGTCCAAACTTACCTTTTTTTCAAAAAATTGTTAAAAAAACTTATATTTTTAAGCTCCCAATGGAGCTGATGAAATGATTGATCCAACTGTGAAAAACTAGACTGGACAGTTCTGGTTTTCTGCTTGCCATTTTTGCCCCAAAGGATCCATTTCAATGTTTTTTTTTTAAAAAAGACTATTTTTTTAAAAAGGACTGGAATTAACTCACATTGAATTGAACAAAACGTAGTACTGTATCGTGTCCCCGATCCTATGGGGGGACCAAGAAAACAAAATCCTAGGAAGTGGGACCGTAATTTATCGAAGGATCCTTTTCTTAGAAATTTGTAAGCGAAAGAAAACTTCCACTCAAGTTAGGATCCCCCTAGTTAGAATCTTGCTAAGCTTATCTTAACAACAAGATACACGATACAAATTCTTACTAATTCCAATTTTTTGGGTCCTAATTATTGGTCCTAATTAATTATAAAAATAAAAATAATAAAAATAATTTTGTTTCGGGCAAATGAACATTCGAATTTCAAGTTCAAATTTTTTAGTGAAAATGGAATGTACTACTATGGTATATAAAGCAGCAAACTATTTCCTCGACTGTGTTTTGAGCAATTTATCTTGTGCTATATTTTATGGTTTTAAAAACGCTCTTCAAAGGAGGCGGTCGTTTCTGGGCAAAGTTAGAGCAAATGGTACAGTTGTCAATTTTTGAATTTAAAAAAACGAAATGAAAGGGTATTTGGTGTACTGAAGATATTGATAATGAACATTTACAAATTAGAGCGTCATGAAAAGCGTAATTTTCGACCTTGGGCTTCAAAAAATAGCTCAACAAGATGAACTTGTTCCTCAAATAAACGCCTGCGTCGAAGAGTTTTGGTACTGTTACAACATCAGAAGTCATAATAAAATTTTGGCAAAGTTTTTGAAACAGAACTACTGATCTTCGAAGGTCAGGAGTCAAAACTTTATAGAAAAACGTTTCAAAGATTCCCCGTCATAATATTCTGCGGACACCACTGATACGTCAATGCCAGTTTTTACTTAAGAGCATCTGGTTTGCCTGGCTTTAGGTTGTTATCCTTTTCGAAACTTCTCTGAGAGAGATTAGAAACTTACGCGAGATGATAAAACCGATGGCTGCAAACGAGATAGCACTGACCCAGTCAAACACAAGAAAGTGTCGCAAAAACTTCCCAAAAAAAGCAATTGCGCTACCACCACAGCTCCAGGCCATCATGGCCACCACACCCAAGTAGGCGCGCCCTCTGTTGTCCATAGATTCAGCTAAATAAACGTAGCACACAACGATGTAGCCGGAGACACCCCAGGAAGCAATGAAGCGACATAGAGCGTAGAGAAGGTAATTGGGCATCATCGGGCCCACGATAC